CCCCCCCCCTTCCCTTTTCCCCTTCTTCCCCTTCTTCCCCTTCTTCCGGTGAAGGCCTAACACATGTGCCTGGATAGCCCCGATGCTATGGGGGCCTCTATCCGACCGTTACGGAAGGAGGCCCGTCTTCCTAGTCTGCTTGACCATCTTGATCGGGGCGTGTATAGGAATTGCTCTGATACCAACGAACGCTTTCTGGCTCTTGATTGTCCTCCGCTGTTTACAGGCTGCGGGGTGCGCCAGTACAATCGCCCTCGGTAGGAACTAGTCACCCAACCATGTCTTGACATTCTTCGACGCTGAAGAACTGACCTATCGGGTACCAGGTGCCGGTGTAATTGGCGACATCTCAACTCCTGAAGAGAGGGGAGGGTTCTTTGGAACGTTTAATCTCGGTCCTATGGTACGTATAGCTCCCAGAAGGCTCGTCAAAAGATTGCTGCAAAAAACATCTTTTGATACAATGATTGCTACAAATGAGTGCTATGTCCAAGGTATCAGGTGACTGACACGATTAGCTCTCACCCTGTATCGCCCCTGCGATTGGCGGTGCCCTCTCTGATAAACTTGGGTGGCGTTCCATTTTCTGGTTCCAAGTCATCATGGCTATCTGCTGCCTTCTCTTCATCCTCTTGTGAGTTCTACTTGCTGAGCTTGGCCATCACCCCTTCCCCCCTTTCCATGCAGGCATACGCCACCCTTTATCTTTACAGCCTACCCTAATCACTTCTCATCGTCACAGGTTCCTCCCAGAGACTCTTCGAAACCTTGTAGGCAATGGAAGTGTTTCCCTAGGCGGGGTTTACACCCCTCTCTTGCCGATCGTAGGTAGATCCCGAAGGAAGAACAAGAGCCAACGCAATAAGTCCGGTATTCGGCGATCAATCAACCCCTTCGTCATCCTCGTATATCCCGACGTTGCCATAACCCTCACCTTCACGGGCGTCGTTTACGCTGTCAACAACACCGTTGTGACGACAGTGGCCTCTTCCTTTGCCAAAGTGTACCCGTGGTTGTCTGAAACCGCCCTCGGCTTGTGCTATTTGCCTACGGGATTCGGCATGATCGTCGGCAGCACCGTCACTGGCAAATTTCTCGACTGGGAGTACGCCCGCATCAAGAAAAAAGTCGAGGCATCCGATGGTGCCATCTTGTTCCCGAAGGAGTATGCCCGTCTGAGGACTATGCCGGTGCTGTTGGTACTGTTCTCCGGTGCTGTGATAGCATGGGGTTTTTGCGTCGATCGAGGGGTTCATATCGCCGTACCTCTCCTTCTTCAGGTAGTCTGTAAGTTTTGCTCATGAGCTAGCCAAGTCGAGATTCTCACAACTGAATGCTTCTAGTGGGATACACATCCATTGCCATCCTTAATACTACAATGACTCTAATGATTGACATCTTACAAACAAGGAGTTCGGCAGCGACAGCATGTGTAAGTAATCGGTTCCTTGCAACTATCACAGAGCTCGGAAATACTAACCCTTGTCGTAGACAAACCTTGTAAGATGTTTATTGGCAGCCCTGTTGGTGGGCCTGATTGACAGGATGACGGCGGCCCTGCGCATCAGCTGGAGTTATGTTCTGCTAGGCGGCTTTTGTGCTCTTCTTCTGCCCCTCATGTATATCGAGATGAAAGTTGGGCCAAAATGGAGAATGAGACGAGATCTAAAGTCTGTGGACGATTAGAGGTGGACGAGGAGGGTTAGACGATGTGTATACAATACCAAGACCTAACATAGAAGGCATGCAGCCATCGACACAAGGATCATGCCATACTGGTGTCCAACCCGACTTCAGATGTGTTATTGCGTTCTCTTCTGATACAACATCGACATACTTGGAATCGAGATCGAAAATGTTCGCTCTCTGGATTTCCTCGCCGCGGTCACCGCACGCTTCGCCCACAACCTAAAATTCCACATTCGTCCAATCCGCCAGGCCCTGCGCGTGGAGGTCACCTCCGACTTGCCACACGGCTAGGGTCTTGGCCTTGAGCCAAAATGGGCCCGCATCGGCCATGTCGGGATCCTTATATTCGACTGCCGTCCATATGACGGGCACGCCACCCTCTCGGGCTGCCGCTACGAGCCTTGCTGCGCTCTCCGGGACGAAAGTGGCAGAGGGGTTCCCTGAGAGGTCGAGGGGCGAACTGGGAGTCGAGTAGGCCTTGCAGATGTCGACAAGGAGGAGGGCGGGCCGTGAACCCCAGCCCGTGCGGTTTCCGTAGCCGGACGCGGCGTATGATGCCGCCTCGGGGTGCGGGTGACGATTCTGTCCTGGTTCCGTCGTTGGCTGCTAGCTGTTGTAAGGGTGGAGGATTTGCCTGCCCCCTTTTGATTGATAGATCGTAGGCTAACATACAGCGCAGGCATAATTTTAATAAGTGCATGTCCTCAACGGAGATTCTGTGCATTCGCCGGCTGCGATCTGACTTCGACCTCGAGGCGGGCCCTGAATTGCGCAGCGTGCCTGTCTCCGCCCGTCTGCCGGGAACGGGTTAAATAGCTCGTCTCAAATCCATGGGAACCTGATTTCCTTACTCCTGCAATATGGCAATATAAGACCGTCGGTATGTTCAATGAATAGTTCGCCAAGGCAATACCTTGACATAGAGAATATTGAACAGCGACCGGTCGCCTTGTTGGAATAAAAGGCAAGGGTGCATTCCGCCCTGGAATTCCGCTCGGTGGGCGGGTCGCCCCTCACCAAAAACAGGTCTCGGGCATGCTTGACCGAGGTCACATGCCCGGGGTGGGCTTTGAGATCGTTGGAGGCTATCACGACACACCCGGCTGGGGAAGGGCAAGCCCAGCAACCTCGCGTTTCTAGTTGATCGTCCTTTTCCCCGGTCAGCGGTCATTTCCGGAGTGTCTATCCACTGCAGAGCCAGCTTCGACGTGGTCGCCGAGCCTCCGAACGCATTAACGGCCAAGGCCGTTTGAATAAAGCATGGGACCGGCGACATGATGCCAGGGTTCTACGGAATCCGAATCCGATCACGGTCCCGGGGGGTCGGCTGACACGGAACTAGCGGGGCAGAACGGAGCTAGAGGGGCAGCTCAATCGGTTCGCCGAATTCAAAACGCAGGAAAACCAGGAACAAAGAAAAAGGGGGCAGGATATGGAAAACCCCCGTGCCTCCTCCCGGCGGGAACGGCTCCAGCAGCACCTAAAGTGGATCAAACGCCCATAATCTCAAACGCTCCGGGCGGTAGTGGAGATCATCCACTCCGGTGCCCACCAGCCGTCCGCCCCGCCCGGCGCATCTCGGATCTACGGCACCGCCATGTCCATCCAGGAGGGGCCGCTATTCCCCATGGAATACTAGGCTGGCACGGCTGGGGGAGGGAAACCGCCCGTTCCTCCCTAATCCACGTCGTTTTCCGCTGTCATGTTCCTTCGCTTCCTTACCATTGGGACAAAAACCAAAACAAAAAAACAGACCTGCAAAATGCTGACCTTGCATGCACCCCCCCCTCCCCAGAATCTTATTTCAACACCCACCCAAACCTCTGCTCCGTCCGGGCTCGCTCCCCATCCCTCCCCCGCCCAAGAGCCCGATCAGAACGCCGGGTCGCCCTCACAGTCCGAGCTTTTTGGGTTTAAGCTTTTTCGGTTGCTAAATACACTACAGAACTACATCGACCAACCACACACTTTCCTCCTTACCTACCTACTCCAAGCCTATCGCTTTTCCTAACCCCAAGGTAAGGCACCCCTCGAACATCATCTGAAGTTCCCAACTGGGGAGAAGCCAGAAACAAAATAGCACACCCACCACTACCCCCATACGGACGAGTGAAACTTCAACCCAAGTTACAACCGGCATGACATTAACAATCCGAATCAAGGTCCTTGCCGCCCCCCCCCCCCCCCCCCCCCCCCCCCCCCCCCCCCCCCCCACCCCCCCCCCCGCCCCCCCCCCCCCCCCCCCACGGGAGAGAGAAAACTCCAACCCAGATACAAACCGCAGGAAATACACAACCCGAACCAAGGCCCTGCCCCCCCCCCCCCCCCCCCCCCTCCCCCGGAAACAAAACATCTTTAAACGTTCGCTCGGTGATCGTATCCATGCAAAACGGCTTGTCAAAGCGAAACATTCAAGAAAAAGAGCCCCAAGCAAAGAAGGAAACGTCTAATCTGGCTCGAGAGGCGAACCAATACCCCCAAGTAGGAAGCTCCATGTTCCAACCTCTCCCAGAATAAGAATGGCCCAGAAAACAAAGCATCCAATTTTTTACACGGAAACTCGGGTTGCCGAAGTAATCAGGAGTAAACATGTGGTATCGATTTTCTCCATGAATCCATTATATGAGCTTATATGCTCTTGTGTTAGTATTCAACCGTAGCTTAATATCATCCCAAGCTGACAAGAATTTCATGTCGTGTCAACAGACGGTTCACATAGCGAAGGGTAAATAAAGGGAAAAAACAAAGGCCCATGGAACTCCGCCACTTAAACCCAAAATGCTCGCCACATCATGCGAGCGTTGTACTGTTCGCACAAGAATATGCCTCGCGCAACCAAGTCTCGTTTTTTTGGCTGTATCTCAATGCATTGCAAAAGCATGACATGTAATCCCATCCATAACCATTAGTAAGACTTTCTCTATCCGTCACCCCCAACCAAGCCATTATACGCCGTAAATGAATAATCCAAGCTCGTGGCTTTAGATCTCTTCAAGAACTGTGCTGGGCTTCCACTCATTAGCATCGACGGTGGCTTCGGGATCGGTCCAGTTCACGGGCTTGTGAATGCGGAGGAGGCGGAGGAAGTAGTCCTCGACGACGAGCAGGTTCAGGAGGACGCCGTTGCAGTTCCAGGCGAGGCCGCAGACGATGGCGCCGGCGACAGCGTCCAGGACAAAGTGGTTAGCAGTCGCAACAATGGCGGTGAGGATCAGAGCCGGGTAGGCCATGCCGATGGCGACAATGGCAAATCGCTTCCAGGGACGCGAGCGGATCGAGGGGAGGGGTAGTGTCGCGACGGTGAGACCGATAAGCAGAGAGTAGCCAAAGTGCAGGGAAGGCATAGCAGCTGTTCAAATTTTGTCAGTAATCAAGCCATGGGATGGAATGTGGTTCCGGGGCCAAAACTCACCATACTGGTTGCAGAACTTGTTTGTCGTCCAAACACTACTCTCACCGGTGGAGCTGTGCACCGTGTCCACGAAGCCAAAGCTCTTGGACTCGCCGGCGTCGGGGCCCTTGTAGTTGGGGTCACTCAGCAGGCGGGGGGGCATGCAGGGCCAGAGAGTGAAGACGACAAAGGCCAGCAGGTTGCAGGTGGCCATGGTGCGGCGGCGAGCCTCGTACAGGGCGGGGCCGGCAGAGTTCCATCGAATGTTCTCGTTGCCGCCGAGCTTCGCGGAGACCGCGCGGCGCTTGCGGGTGGTGGTGATGTAGTAGAGGATGACCAGGAACAAGATGGTGCCGGGGATGTGGATGAAGGAGTAGATACGGTTGATCCAGTGCATCACTGTGGGCATCTGCAGGAAGTACTGCTGGACCGGCACCTCGATGAAGACGTGGAGGCGCTGCTCCAGGTGGATGAGTTGGAGTGCATGCTTGCGTGCCACGTCAACGGTTCCCTCGTTGAGAGTGAGCGCGGTGAAAGCGCGGCCGACTTGGTATACCTAGCAGTTGAGCATGTTAGACAGTGTTCGGGTAGGGTTCAGAAATGAAAGAGGGAAAAGTTGTTGCTTTCCCACTTACCCAGTAAATCAGAGCCCAGTACCAAGCTTCGACCAAAAAGGGAAACTTGCGGAGGACTCGGCTGAGCAATCGATCCTTGTACACTCTGGTGTTTGGTGTCGTGACAATGCGCTGATACCCAAAGAACTTGATCCTGCGAGAGCGTCGCGGGGGTTCTTCTTGCGGTGTCAACGTTGATGAAGAGTTCCAGGGGCCGAGGGTGAGAGAAGACTCTTCAGAGTCCGGGGTCGAGTTGCCGGAACGGCGCTCATCAGATCGCTTGTGCTCGGCATCGTCGAGGCCGGCGCCCTTCCATCCCAGGTGATCGTAGGCGTTGTTATCGCCAATGTTGCGGTTGAACCATGTTCCTCCAAACAGGAGGGTGATAACCACCAAGGGTTCTGCCACAGCACCGATACCCATACTTTCTTTCTTTCTTGTGTGACAGGCTGATGACGGAATAAACAGCCGACGATGGGGACAGTGAGAGAGGTATGAGGAGACTGGGGACTTGGCTACTCCAATGTCTGCTGCCGTGGTATTTGAGGGCGCGGGAGGTTCGGCAAGGGCCACAAGTCCTGAAGGCTAGATGCGGGTGGGATGGATCTGACAGACTCAGTCCACTGGTGTGGTGGGCCAAGGTCTAACGAGAAGGCGACCGGAAGGTCGGGGTACGTGATTTTAAGATTGTCCGTGTCAAAGGGGCGAATTGAATGTCTCCTGAGCTAACTGCGATTTTCTGGTGAAGACCACGGTGAGTATGGAGTAGAGAAGTAGTCAAAATTAAGAAGAAGTTGACTTGTCGAGCGGAAGGTGGAAAGGTAATCAATAACAAACGGGGGAGCTCGAGGTAGCGACGTTCATCACGCAGCATGGATCAGATGGAGCTGTTAATCATACCGTAATAGAACCTGGACTTTCGGCACACTTTGAGCAGAAAGCCCAGGCTCGGCACAACCCACCATGCTGGACCTTGACCGACCGTATACAGAGTTACCGGGTTGGTGGCCTTTGCCCTTGGGCAGCGAATCCAGCACATGCGGATCCTCCTCCAGGCTCCTCCAGGATCCTCCTCCTCGCAAAGTTCACTCTTCCACCTGCCACCCGCCACAGTCCACACCAGCGGGCTCCGCATGGCTCCGAGGTCCTGGGGAGGAACTTGAGGAACTCAAGCTCAAGCCGCGCATTCGATTCGAACCCACCCTGGTCCCTCGCAAAGGCCTCAAGTGGAAAGTGGATGGTGGGAAAGTTTTGCTGCCCGTGACCCTGTCCAAAATACGGAATTCTGATCTCTAGCCAATGGCGGGTTGTGGGCTGTTGGGGCGGATGGGCTGGGATCCCTGACGTGGACGAATCGCCCGCCAAATGCCGCGAGCGCCAAGGGTTACATCTTTTTTGGTGTGCGTCTCTCGCCCTGTGTGAGGTGAGCTTCTGCTTCGTTGGGGGGTGGACACCCGCGATTCCGTACCCAAACTTCAAAGACGTCGTTCAAGAGAGGGTGTGTTGTGGGTGGCCAACGGCTTGGGATGAGACAAGAGAGCGGAAGAGCTGAGAGAAAGACATCAGACGAATGTCGCGTGCTCGCTCAGTTGTTTGGCAGCTCGCCGTTTTGCTCTGAGTTCTGGGCTACCTGACGTAGTTTGTCCCGTCAAGCACGTCCAACCGCGAAACAAAGTCTCTTTCTTCCCGCGCTTCAATTGCTGCGTCATGCCTCGAAGCCTAGGTCCGTTCCCTTTTCCCGGAATCCAGCTTTCCTGAGTTCCCTGCGCCTTCATGCCTTTGCTTCCTGGAGGGGAACAAGTGCTCCGACGTCCGCTTAGGAAAGGCGGCTCTGTTTATCAATCAGGCGCGCGCCCGCGAAGGAGGCTGCGTTGGCGAATCGAAGATGACGAAGGCTTGCGACGAAGCACACGACACTGTACACTGACAGCCGACCAATCGAACAGGGGCCTGGGGACCAGGGTGGAAAGACTTGCATCCGCGACATCCGACAAATCCGTCTTGTCCTTCTGGAGATGGGTCCGTTCACAGCCCACCGCAGGCATTTTCCTCACTCGCGTCCAACGGTGGCACGGTGGGAAAAGAAAGGAAAACAAAACCCAGCAAAATTTTGTAAAAGAGAAATATTCCTTGTCACGGAAATTGAGCATCTGCTGTGTATTGCATGTCGCCGCTGGCATTCCGCTCCGCTCCCATCCCCCTCCCTTACCTCATGGTACCAGGGGCTCGTTGGACTTGCTGAAAAACCTTCATTACCGGCCTCGTCTGACAAACACGCGACCTCCACCATGACTGAAGACGTGTCCGGAGGTTGCGTACGTCTTTTCGCACGTCTCCGCACCTGAGATAAGGAATTTTGCATGCCACCGCCGTCGTGCTGGCCAGCACATGGGCGGAAAAGGAGTGGAAAGGTGACACAGTGATTCTCGCCGAATCCCAATCCTTCGCCCCTCCCCACGCTTCTAACGGGGTGTCGGCGTCCAACAGATGCCGCTACTACACAATTACTCAGTTTGCCCTTGATGAAAAATCTAGACAAGCCGACCTTAATTTCAATGAGCGCTGGGCGCTGGCATGCTGCTGCAGGTGGGTGGCTTCATTGATGGGAGGGGCCGGCGCACCCGCCCTTCAATGCGAGCTCGACAAATTGTCTTGGCATACATCATCACAATCCGCTATCGCTGACCCCGTGGTCGACCCATATTTTGCTTGGCGATCCTCGACCGAGGGAGACAAGGAAAGAGGGAGAAAAAAGGTTTGTGATGGTTGATAAGGTGGTACTGCCTCGCTGACTTTAGCGCCTAGCAAAGCTTCTTTGTAACAAGGCAGATATCTCTGGCTGGGGTTTTCGTGATATATGAGCAGTCGACGGACGCTGGTGATAATGTTCCGCCTCCCAGGGCGAAACGTAGTTTGACTTACCCAAGTCCCAGTGTAAGTAGTGTATGAGCCAAGGTCTTTCGGCGAACTTCACCTAGTCTGAATCAGGCACCAGTAAGTCGCTTTGTGTCATTTCCGCGTTTATGCCATGAACCCGGCCATCCCGCGTACTTCTTCTATCCCGTACGGACACTCTTTCAGCCCTGCACAGCGTCTCCGCATGCTAGCGAACGCCACAGCTCGCGACATCCGTTGGGCGGGTACCGAAGCACCAGCAAGTCAACGTCACCTTTGGAGTTTGGATTGCCGGATGGTCGGTGTAATGGCCAATCCCGGCCGGCTCTTGCGGGCACTCGCCATTAAGCTATCCCGTTCGAGATTTCTGGCCGGTCGGGAAGCTTACCCGCTCCGTTCCGCTATCTCCGGATTATTCAACCTACACATGTCGACCCCGGCGTCGGCGGGTAGAATCTCCGTCCCTCGGCGCCGAGTTGCACCAAGCCTTTTCCGCGCCGACTCCGCTGAGGTCGGTCACGTGTAGCCTTGGAGGAGCCGCAGGTTGATGACGAGAACGATTTGTTCGGTTACAATGGCCGACTTCTGCAGCATCAACAAGGACTGAAAATGGTGCAATTGATCTAGTGCGATAGAACATTGGTGCTGGCGGTAGAAACCTGAACTGACCCCTCCTCTCCTGTGTCTCTCACATGTGGAAGCGTCAACGGTACTGGAGGGTCCGACGACTCGAGCCGCGCGCCAGTTTTTCTCGCCACCCAACATCGTCTTCGCCCGCAGAGAAAGACATTGGTGACATCGTACCAGATAGAGACGTGGCGAGAGGCGACTGTTTATAGATAGGCTGGCACTTTCTTGTCATGAAATGAGAAATTGGCTCAAGCGGCCTTTAGGTATCCACTCTTGTTGGCCCAGCGCTCCCTTGTTCGGCCTGAGTATCGAAAGAGGCGTATACGTTAGAGAGTCAGTGTGACCTCACTGGACCATGATGAAAAGAATGGTCCATCGAACAGAGTATTCACTTTGCAATAGGGCCTACACATTGTTGGCCAGGAGAGTCATCGTCAATGAATTGTCAGTCGAGATACCAGCGTGCCGACGAGTAGCAGACTTCACGACCCCCTTGTTCAAGCCTGGTGCCTGAGAAGATGACTGTCCAATGGCGGACATGATCACCATAGCCTGGAGAAATGGATCGATAAAATAATGAAAGAGCTTCTAGTGCGAGCGGGAGAGGTGTTTGGCTGGCCGAATAGTATGTAGGAGTCAGCATCGCCGGGCGCTGGAGAAGGGTCAACTTTTGACGTCGTGGTCGAGTCCTTCCAGGTGAGCACATATTCTGAGGTGATGAATAGTAGCTTTCCATCGGGAGCAAATTCCAAAGCACAAGTCTGGTCATGTTACAGCCGATGTGTACACTACTGAGACCACCAGTGTGGAAACGGTCGTGGATGCCATCGGGTGTGTACCGAAATCGTCAATGAAGCCCGTAGAACTGGCCAAGAAAGCAGACACGCCGACTGCCAAAGATATGATATGCTTGATATGCCCCGACGGAGGTATATCCCCGCCAAGCTGCCAATTGGTCTTCGATTTCGAGTTGATTGACACAGGCTCCTTAATGGTATCAAAACCACTGAGGGGGTAGATACCTAACACCGTCCCAAGGTTATATCACCTCTAGATCTGGGGGAGGTTTCCAGTCTAATCGAACCTCGCTCACAAACTACCCGCTATTGCAGCTGGAACATGTAGTCTATAAACTCCTCGAGCGCGGTACAATACATCCACCAGCATTCGTTCGGAGGCTCGGAGGAGATTGGCGCAAAGACTTGAGCGAATGATGGGTCGGCACTTGGCCGAATGCGCGGTCTGGATATGTTTTGGCTCAGGATATTATTGCCATGAGAGTCCTTGAGATATCCAATGACCGATGTTAGCAGAGGGCAAAGATACCTTGTCGTTCCTCAGAGAGTCAGACCTGATGGAGCAGTTGACGGCGTATCAGCCTATCCCGTATCGATCCGCTGAAGAAGATTGCTTCGCAACTATCTTGTCCCGACTCAAATTTCCGGCATCACCAGCGCCACGTGTGCGGCTCGAGCCGAGGTGAGCTTGTCTTCGCAGGCATCGACTAGTCTCAACCGAACCTGGGTTCACCGGGAGATCGGAAATGCCTCCCTCGTGCCTTCATACTGATAGAAAACGGCCTATTCTGGTGCGATAATAACTATCGTCGTAGCCTCCGTGCGAGCTAGGCAGGCGCGTCTAGGTTGGGTGGGAAGAGCCCGAGAGCCCGAGAGCCGCCAAAGATGGCGGATATCATCGTCGAGAACGGAGTAGAGCCTCTGGTCTTGACCCCGATCGGTGATGGTGGGTTGAGTCCGGCATCTATCTCATTTCGGCGCTCCGGACGGGTGGTCTGAACGCTCCATCTTTTCAGCCATATCCAGGGCTATCGGCGGCAGACGGCGTGGCTATTGTTCGTCTCTTCAATAGGGAGGCGGGGTTGCAAGTCTCCGAAATGTCTGGCGCTTTGAGCGAATCTGGATCTTGTGCCGACACCGTTCTGAAGTCTAGCATGGATTGCCCCAGTACGAGTAGGTTACCAGAGCATCTTCGTTGAATGAAGAGTCGAGTGAGGTTCGGAAACGATGCAGCGTCGCCAAAATTCCAGGCGCCATCTTTCTCTGGCCGGACGCTATGCTCCTCGACATCAGTCACGCTGAACATTGAGACGGAGCATACGTTCCTTCCTGGTTGTAAAAGAGAAAATTATCGACCAGGCACGAACTAATTGCATACCTCTGGAGTGCAATCAGTTGTAACTTGGGCACCCAAGAGGCCCGAGCGTGGCACGATGGTCGGTCGTTGGGTAGGATTCGTGGATGGAACTCTCGAAGATGTCGGTGTCTCACAATGAGTGGTCATTGGAGCCGCAAACACTTCGCGCTGGCGTGCCACATGATACTTGGGGGCCAAGGCGTGGGGGCATGTCAAGGAGGGGCACCAGAAGTCAAGTCTGACAACAACAAGAGGCTGAGGTTGAAGTTTTTCGAGAGAAGAGGGAAACCCTATCACAATGCATGAGGTAGGGTGCCTACCTAGTTAAATTACATCAGGGACCCTTAGAGATACGTGGTGTTCATCTGATGACAACGTGAGGCGCGGATGTGGCCAGGGCAGGCACCTGCAGTTTGGAGGCTGCATGAAATGCAGGAACCAACCTGTGGTCGGAGGCAGGAGGGCGACATGGTCGAGGCCAGGTTCCCAAAGTGAAAGAGCTGCTGTGCGAGAAGTCGGTCGCGGGAAGGAGGGGCCCGCCTCGGTACTTTACACTCGATGCGGTACGTACTGCCACATGTAGCTGGAGTCCAGACTGCTTTGGGCCTAATTGGATGCATGCCTACGCCCGGACCAGAGGCGGCACGGTTGTGACCAACCACAAGCTTTTTTAATGAATCAGAGGACCCACTTGTTTAATGGTTTGAGAAAGCAGAGACACGTTCATGCGTCACTAACCTCGAGTCAAACTGGGCAAGAAACGATGAAATGTATTACAAGCCACGGCTGATTCGACGGACGGGCACAACAAACGCTCGGTCGGTCCCTGGAAAGCCGTCAGCTACTGAGAGAAAGCGGGCAAAAAAAGAGAATGAAAGATTAGCGACGGCCTAGATTTCTTGGCTTTGATTAGCGGCCAAGCGCGATGTTATTGAGGCAGTAGCTGCTGCCCAGGACAACGGACGGGCGTGATGGCTTGCAGCAGTCACATGCTTAGGTAAAATAATACTGATACTCTAATCAATACTATTTTGCAGAATGAGGCCAGGCAAGTCGTCTCTGGCCGCCATCATATGTCTTTCGGTGTTTGTCTGTGCTCTTGTTTTTGTTTTCTTTCCCACCTGGCAGAGGTTTAAATAGGGTCCAGGGTCCAAGACATGGAGCCTGCACCATAAAGGTTGGGCGGATTGAGTTAATTGACAACGGGATTCTCAGGCGTTCGGTTCGTGTGCCGCTTCTGCTTGAATCGGTTTGAGACGGGATGGGACGTTCCCTGCTGTGATGGAATGATTTGCATAGAATTGAAATGACAATTGCTTCCTCCCCCAAAAAGTCAATCAAGTCGTTGAGCAGCTCCTCTTGACTCGATGGGACCCTGGCCGCAGCGATCGCAATCCCGTCTGGTCTTTGTCTACTAATTTTGGCCTTGGCTCTAATGAGGGCAAACACGCGACATACTAGATGGGGTCGCAAGGGGGACGTCATGTCATTGAATGAAATGAAACATGTTTTGTACCTCCAGTCGGTCACCACTGGACATGCTGTGCTATTCCAAGTACCAAATGTCATGTTTTCATTCATTGTTCGCAGCTCATAGCAAGCAATGAATGTAATTGATAGACTCTAGGTAGGTAAGGTACCTTAGGTACGGTTACATGTGTACGTACCGTATCCGTAGTACAGCCTCGGATTATTTTATTGCATTCCTTCCTGATTCCACGGCCGTTCCTCCCCCGTTCCAGGTTCCTCTGGTTGATGAAAGATCTGTGCGCACCCTGCCAGGCCCACCACACCTCGTGCTCTTCATCTTCATCTGACCAATGGGACTGCAGCCTAGCCTTAGCCCAGCCCAGGTCAGTTCTCCCCAAGCCTCTCCACCAACCACTCACAGTAAGGCTCAGGCACATACACACAACAGACAGGAGACGTTCCTTCCTTTTCCTGTCAGTCCCTGCCGTGTGCTTCAGGGGCTCTTGCTTTAGGTTGGTCTGGGCTTACCGTATGCACCTTACTGCTCAATGCGCCGCTGCTGCGCGCTGCGCGTCCCAATCCTCATTGCTCATTGCTCGTTGGTCGTGCCAGAAATTCTTTACATCCAGCCCGGGACAGTCCAAGGACAGTTTGGTGTCTCTCATGGCTTTTTCTTACCTCCCTTTTCGCTCTGTCTACCATTTCCTTCCTCCCTTGATTCATCTGTCTGTCTACCCAAAGCAGCAGTAGTCAGCCGTTGAACCCGTCCTCCGCCGCTCTGATCTGATACACGATCATCACAGCGCAAGTAGGAAGATACGGCTTGGATTCCCTGAGCACGATACGACCCTTCAACGACTTTGTCGCTTTCTTTTCGCCGTTTGCCTGCAATCATATTCATTGTTGATACCCCGTTCCCATCCCCAGTCCAATCACCCACCCACCGGGCCCCCTCCTCCTATCCCGACCCTCTTCTTCTCTCCTAGGCCGGCCGAATTTCCCTGCGAGAAAAATTACGGATACCCATTTGCTCCATTCGCCTTCACACGAACTCTACAGTAGAGACTCGAGTCACCATATAGACGTCGGTGCTGCGAGCAACATATCGCAAGTCTTTTTGTCCAGCTCCAGCAAGTAGCGCCTACCCCCTCACCCATCGATTGATCTGCGCCTTTTATCGCACGTCTCCCGCGTTCCGTGTCCCCACGTAACCACTTTATCGGGCTTCTCAGCCGGAACCACGCGAATTCGGCCCGTGTCTGTTGTTCCTGATGAAGCGATAGTCGATCGTCTCCACGAGGCCACCTCAGCACGACGAGCAGCCCTGCCAGGGTCCCACAGGTTCGCGACAGATCATCATCCTCCCAGGCCCTTCGCTGTGCGATCTGGACCCTTTGCTAAGCTGCATCTGACACAGGTTTACCGGTTTACGTCGCTCCCGCCCTCTCCCCTTCCACACGCCGACCACGTCTTTGCACCCGTCGTCGACGAACCGAGCCTTCAATGCCCTGGCAGCCTCTTCCTCGCATCGCCTTCGCCGTCGCGACGTATCCCTTCGCGGCCTCGGGCCCGGCCGACCTTCCACTAGAACTCGGCGATGAGCTGTACATCATTGAAGAAACCCCGGACGGCAACTGGCTGCGTGGCTATTTGGTAGCCCCGCCCAGTCTGCTGGCCGGACTGACATCCGTCAAGGGCCAGACACTCGAAGCCCGCGTTTTCAGCGGCATCTTTCCTCGGAGTTGCGTAGAGGTCCGCGAGGTCTTGGGCGAATCCGACGACACGGAGGAGCTGGAGGATGCCACAAGTGACGATGCTGCTGCCGCTGGCGATGTCCAACTCGGGAGCGACTCAGGAAAGAGCGGATTGACGCCGACTGCCACCGACAACCCCAAATTAAAAGAAGGCCACAAATCTCTAGGAAGCTCACGAGGATCCAAGGGCTCCAGAATCGAGATCAAGGGCCGCAAGCCACTCAGGGAACTCCCCAATGGCACTCAGGGCCGACTGTCCATCCCCGTCAAGCGCGACCCCGATGCACCGCGACCTGCCGCACCCGTACCGATGCTCAAGATTGGCGACGAAACCCCAACATCGGCAGCCGAACCGTTGATTGACGAAATCGCCAGCTGTCTTCGCGAGTGGCACTCAACCAATCTACACGGCCTACTCCTGTCTCGCCAGTACCCTCGTCTGGAGAAGCTATCACAGTTGATCCAGACACTTAACCTCAGCAGACAGCAATTCCTCCACAACGTTCTCACACGGCACGAATATGACAAGTTACGGGAAAAGACAGTTTGGGACCTGGTGCGTGTTAATAAGCTCTGCGGAGGGGAGGTCATTGTCCGAGATCCTGCAGACCGTGGACGAGTATTGACGGGCGACGACTCGGTAGTAGACATTACCAAATTACAGTCCGTCATGAGCGTCCTGGATGCACCACCGGTGCCGACCGTAGAACCGACGGCCTTGCACCACCTGCTCGTTGACGTCAAGGGATTTGCCGGCGCGTCTGCGGAGGAGACATCACTAGTAGTCTACCTCGTAGCAAAGCCTTTGGGAGGCCAGGCAGCCACTCTTACCGAATGCTTCATCATCGACATACCACCTGGCGGAACGATAGGAAGCCTTGCAAAATCGGGTCAAACTCGAACAATATTCGCCGACCTTTCTGCGCAAGATATTGGCGACGTTGCATCGGCGGAAACCGATTTGTACCTCGTCGTCAAGGTGCGTTCGAGCCAGCAAGTTATTCCCAGCGGAAAGCCGGATTCTCGTTCTGGCGCCAAGTCACAAGGTGGAGGATATCCCAAAGATCCCGCACAGCCACCCTCCTCGAGTGGCAACAAAGCTTCTAGGAGAAGTCTTATGTGGGGATCCAAGAGCGGTCGCTCAGCATTTTCAAGAGGGAATGCCACACCGAAGCTTGAATCGTTAACAGAGCAGCCCGAGGGTCGCCCGCCGACACAGGACGAGAGTCAAGACAGCGCCGCACCTCCCAGCACTGCTGGCTCCAGACCGCGCGGTTCGTTTGATGGCGGGTCAGGTTTCCACATGGCGGAAAGGACGGTGGGCATTGGTGTTCTCAAACTCAACGCGGTCATGAAGCAGGACGAAGACGTTGAGCAGGTTGTGAGCATTTGGTCACCATCACCAACACTCCCGACAGAGAAGCAGGGCTTCCACGAGGAGTGGGACACCCTCATTCGAGACCTGATGGACAGCAAGAGTGGGCATTACGAAAAGTCGCGCCGAACCGAACGAGTGCAGGTGCATCTCAAGTCTTTCAATCACCCCGATGTGGATGCGCTGGTCAAGATAACACCAACAATGCTGGCTGGCATTCGCAAAACAAACAAGATGGGTTTCTCTGGCGCGCCCACAAAAGCTAGATCGGACATTTACATTACTCTTGATACTGCTGCGCTTTCTAAGCAAAATCTCTTGTCCAGATATGCAGGAAACCCAACCACACTCTCCGGTAGTGTACACGGAAATAACCTACAGGTTACACTGGAGGTACGAAGAACAGGCGGGGAGAAGATCCCGAACTGCATCTATTCTGCGTCCAACACTGAAGGAATTACCACGTGGAAGTCTGTAGTCGTTGAGAAGGGGGAGCACTGGAGCCAGACTGTCCGACTTGCTGTTCCACCAGAAGATGTGTTCACTTCGCACATAGTCATGTTTCTATCCGACATGCCGCATGCTCCGTTCGCGGTTGCCCACATGCCACTGTGGAACCAAGAGGCCTTTGTTCGAGACGGAGCTCATGCCCTACTGTTATACAAAACGGATGAGTTTACCTCGGCGGCACAAGCTGGCCCGACCGGCAAGGGGGGCTATCTGTCTCTGCAGTGGAGTGCCAGAGGAAACGATGAACACTCGTCCGAGGTCACCGGCCCTCTGGCTATTCTTCGTGTCGACACCTATCTGTGCAGCACACGATTCTCTCAGGATCGTATCGTGCTGGGGTTGCTCAAGTGGAAAGAGGCTCCCAAGGAGGATATCCCCATGTTGCTGAAGCATCTCATCTTCGTTCCCGAAATCGAGGTCGTCAAGCTCCTTAGCGACGTTCTTGATGCCCTCTTTGGGGTCTTAGTGGAACATTCGGGCAATGACAAATACGAAGACCTTGTGTTCACTGCACTGGTTAGAGTCCTGGGTATTGTCCACGACAGGCGTTTCAACCTTGGTCCGCTCGTCGACCACTATGCGGAGAACCGCTTCAACTATCCGTTTGCTACAGCTTGTCTCGTGAGATCCTTCACTCGTCTTTTGGAGAAGCCTACTGAGGCCCAAACGTCAAGAAAGCTGCGCTCCACCTTCAAGGTAGTGCGACACATTCTCAAGTTCATCACCCATGCTCGAGGACAGCAAAAGGCGAAGGAAGCCGGGATAGGTATCACGACTTCGCACTCCGCCCCTGGTTTCACTCGAGAATTGAGGAACATATTCAAGGCTCTGGACTCTATGATGCGCAGCAACGCTCCTGTCCTTGTCGGCAGTCAGACTTTGGCCGTCCAACACTTCCACACCTGGTTACCGGAGCTGACAGGACTCCTGACAACCGAGGAAATTTTGCACATTGCTATCGACTTCCTCGACTCATGCTCGCTTGTTAAGGGCAAGCTGGTCCTGTACAAGCTTGTGCTAATCATCAACTACTCCAAGCTGGAGATTTTTTCGCATCCCGAACAAAAGTCAGCCCTTACGGCCAACACCGTCCGATGGATTGCACCTCACTGGGGTCATACTGAAGACGTAACGGATTCCTGGAAGGAACAAGTTCGTCTTTGCTGCTCAATCCTCGCTGGTCAGATCGACAATCTAGGCCCTGAGATTCCTGACTATCTCCCAAAGATTCTTGATTCCTACCTGTCCATCGTGGCCACTCCGAGCAAGCCTTGCAGCCGTTTGTCACTTCTTTTCCCAACTTCATACCCCTTTCCCTCCAAGCCCATTGCGGAGGAATCTACTTTTGACGAAGCGTTGGTTGAGCTTTCTGCAATTTTGTCGGCAATTTCCAATTCCCCTAGCGGCATGCAGCTGGAGTTAACAGAAGGCGACCTAACGGCCCTGCTCGAAAATACTCTTCGCGTACACATGAGCATCTTGATGGGTGAAGCATTCCCGCACGAATGGTTGAGTGTCTACATCTATCACCACAAATCCACGATGCGAACCTTGCAGTACTTGTCCAGCATACTGCTCGAGTCTTTCCTCCCACACCCCGATGAAGCCGAAAACTTCAACACGGAACTTTGGAAGATGTTTTTCACGACAATGCTCAAGCTTGTCGGCAGCCCATCACTAGCTCTGGAAACCTTCCCTGAGCAAAAGCGCAGGGCGGTCTGGAAGATTGCTGGCGACGTGAGGGAGCATGGCGCTGAGCTGCTAAGGCGAACTTGGGAGGCCATTGGCTGGGAAACGAGTAGTGACGAGCGTGCACGATATGGTTTGTCCAAGATGGGGGGCTATCAGGTTCAATACGTCCCCACCCTGGTCGGTCCTATTGTCGAGCTTTGTCTTAGTGTTCACGAAGGTTTGCGACGCATGGCCGTGGAGGTATTGCAGACGATGATTGTCAGCGAGTGGACCCTGAGCGAGGACCTATCCGTCATCCAGACTGAGATGATCGATTGTCTCGACCACTACTTCAAGTCCAAGCCCCTAACCGAGAGCATCTTGCAGAAGCTTTTTGTTAACGAGGTCCTGGAGCGATTTGCGCCGCTATCAACCGCTCCCGATGAGCCTCTGTATGCTGGCATTCGCGACCTGATGGAGACTGTCGACGAGTTCCTCGACCTTCTTGTTGCGGTGCATAGCAGCGATAACACGAGCGAAGCAACCCATCTCATCAACCGATTACGCTTGATGGAATTCCTCCGCGACATGCAGAAGGAGGAAATCTTCATCAGATACGTCCATCAGCTGGCTCTTCTTCAGGGCGAGGCGAGAAACCATTGTGAGGCTGGTTTGGCGCTTCGTCTTCACGCGGACCTCTACGACTGGGATCCTACGAAGCAAGTCGCCGCCTTGGATGACCCAGAATTCCCTATACAGACTTCGTTCGAGCGCAAGGAGCGGATCTACTTCGACATGATCAAGCATTTTGAGGAGGGCGAGGCCTGGACTAGCGCATTGGCTGCATACCAAGAACTGCGGATTCAGTACGAGAGCAACATCTTCGATTTCGCCAAACTGGCCAGGACTGAGCGAGCCATCGCCACGATCTACGAAACGATTTCAAAAAGCGACAAGCTGGTACCCAAGTACTTCAAGGTTGTGTATAAAGGACTCGGCTTCCCCTCTAGCCTCCGTGACAAGGAGTTTGTGTATGAAGGTTCCCCAACAGAGCGCGCCTCCGCCTTCACAGACCGCATGCAAGAACAGTACCCATCCGCTCAGATCGTCACTGGTGGCGATGTCGACGATGTCGAAGGACAGTTCCTGGTCGTTTCCGCCATCACACCACACCGCGATCTGTCGCATCAAGTCTTCCAGCGAGCTCGCGTCGCACAAGTTATCCGCGATTATCTCGTATCCGCACATCCTCAGAGCTTCTCAGTGTCATCCAAGCGCAGCACATCTGGCCCTGTTCAGGAACATTTCGCGGAGAAGATGGTGTTCACCACTGCCGACCCGTTCCCGACCATTCTTCGACGCAGCGAAATCGTGCACACTGAAGAGATCAAGCTTAGTGCCCGCCAGACCGGCTTGGAGCGGATTGTGAGGAAGACCCAAGAAATGACGGTCATCGAAAAGCGAATAACAGAAGGCGACGAAGAAAACGCTCAGCTGCTCGTGGACGCAGTGAGTGTGTCGGTCAACCCAGATTCCGAAAACAGTGTGGCCTGCTACCGCCAATTACTGCCGTCCCGTGCGGAACCTGAGGAGCACGAGGATGATGAAGATGATGACGAAGAAGAAGAAGAAGAAGAAGAAGAAGAAGAAGAAGAAGAAGAAGAAGAAGAAGAAGAAGAAGAAGACGAGGGTGCCATTGAGCTTGATCCCCAAGACAACGCGATCAAAATGGCCCTAGTGGATCATGCAATCATGATCAAGCGGTGCCTCGCAACTTTCTCCAGAAGTTCGAATGAAAACCTCAACGAAAGGCACGAGGAACTTCAACGATGTAAGTCTTTAATGCTCATCACCACGCGTCTAGCCGCTCCATGCTAATCATCCACAGACTTCGAAAGCACCTTTGCACCTGAGATTGCCCTCTTCGCTCCTCAGCAGCCATCCCGCGAGTCCGCAAATGCTTCGCCGACTTGGAGACGGTCGTCGCCATCTACAGAACAAGCGTCCCCTCAACCGCAGAGCATTGCCGGCAACATGACGAACGGAGTGGCTGCCGAGGAAGTATCGACCGTTCAGCCAGTTGCCATCCGCCCAGGGCGTGGCGCGCGTCTAAGCTTCTTGGGCGGCCGTAAGAAGGAATCCCCGGTGTTGCAACAGACCAACAGCGACCCTCAAACGACCTCGGAAACAGAGGACACTGTAAGCCACCGCAGCCGAAGCTTGAGCAAGACACAAGACAACGCAAACAACACAAGCAACACAAATCGTCGTAGCAGCTTCTTCCGAGCTCCGTCGAGCGACATACCGCGGATTCTGGGTAGTAACGATGCCGCCAGCGAATGGGTGACGGACTCTGGCGGACGACGCAGTTCCGATGCGGGAACAAACTTGGCAGAGAAGGAGCGGGAATATAAAGACGAACGGCCTGCAGATGGCCTTGGCATCGTCAAACGTGGAAGCGTCAGAAAGAGGCTTAGCATGCTGAAACTTGGCAAGAAGTCTACTAAGGGTAACGGTACCATGATCAGCGTGCACGAGGAGTAGGACTTCACGGTAGCGGCCGAGCAACTTGGTTACATGAACAAGACGACGGGCGAGTGGCAATACCCAGTGTCATGATGGCACACACGTAGAGGAGCATCTGCTTTCGGTCCTTCAAGGACAGGTCGATGAACACGGTTCTCATGCTTTTTGATCGGAGTGCCTCTCCATGATTGCATTCGGGAGGCCCAGATTTCTTTGGGCTTTTTGCAATTTGTACACACGGGGAACGGTCGGCGGAATGGTGTTCTGGATATGTATCTGTAGGATCCTCCTTCATCTGCATGGCGACACAGCGCAGCAGATACAGCTTTTTTTTTTTCAGGTTCTGTTTGTGAATAATAATACCTGGCCTCACACCTTGTGTGTGCGGAAGCCCAAATTATTCTGACCTAACTGTGTGTCTTACTGTGTCTGGTCATCGCAACTCTCAACTCTTCACCTCTCTATCTAATGTCTTCCCCAGCTTTCTACGATTGTCACAAGTGAGGGTCCAAAAGTCAAGTACTGAATAGACTTGACTACATCGTAAAGTCAGACCTCTCGCAATTTCACCGTTGACCGTGCTAACCCAAATGCGCAACGGCGTGTGTTTCCGCATGGGAGTTGGCAGCGCCCACCCAAGCGTTCCAATTGTTCATTCCTCCATGATCGCACTCTGTCGTGATGGGCCGCCCCTGCACCTGAGCAACGACGTCTCCGCCACGGTGCACAGTGACCACAACCTCGCCAGTCCGGCCGTTGAACGGCGCGCTGCCATGATAGACCCCGACGCCGCCCCGGGGTACACCGTCGTCGTCCCAGGTCGCCTCCTCGGCGACCCCGCCGACGCTGACCGTCACTTGCGCGGGGCCCGTGAGCAGCGCGGAGAAGATGATTTTGTCCTCCATGATCTCGGCCGGGTGGAAGAGTTCTTGGCCATGGCTGCTGGTGTTGCCCGTCGTGCCGCCCGCATCGCCGGCGTGACCTGGGTGCAGGCGGTACCAGGTGACCAGCCCTTCCCGGGTGAATGTGGCGTTTCCGTATTTGTAGAGGTCGATGAGGAAAGGGAGGAGGAGGCGCCAGCCGTCGTGGGGCATGTCGCGGACGTAGTTGAAGGGGGCTTTGCCGTATTCAAAGGCGCCGAATTGTTTTTCGTGTAGGGGGCCTATGTAGTGGGATTCACCAAAGTCGTTCCAGGTGAGCTGTTTTTGTTGTGTTTGTTCACAGTCAGAAATCCATTCCCGCGGACTCGAAAAAAAAAATTGCGTACGTAGGTCGCACCATCTCATCACTCACAATTTGCACATATTCAGGCCTCATGGCTAGAATCTCATTCCACCGGTCGTTCCACAGGTCGTCGCCCTTCCACGCCCAGTTCTTGTTCCAGGTGGGCAGGTTTGTGTAGAACCAGGGGGAGACGGCGACCATGTAGGGGCGATGGGGCCCCAAGAAGTGCCGGTACGAGGCGTCGAGCCCCTCGTCCATCTTGCGGGTGTTGCCGTGGGGCCAGGCGGCCCAGCTGAAGAGGCCGTCGGTGACGCCCGTCTTGAGCGCGTTCTCGGCGCCGACGGAGGAGAAGGAGGGGATGAAGAAGCAGCCCGTCGCGGCCTTGATCTCGTGCCAGTCTGCGGCGTTGCCGACGCCTTCAAACGTTGAGACGACGGGCTGCCAGCCGCGTTTGAAATAGGCTGGAGATGGGCCAAACTTTGGGAATGTGCAGTTAGCATTTTTTTCTTTTTTTGCTGTCCTCCTCGCATGCACCAGCCTTTGCTGGGAACTTACTCTGCTAACGATCTCAATGACGCGCTCCTTGGGCCATGCCCCGGCTCCCTCGTAGTCGAACGACAAGAGCAGCTTGAAGCCCGTCTGCTCGGCCGCGGCGAAGACGTCGGGAAGCCTGACGATGGCCTCCTCGTGGATACCAAAGTTCAAGACAAAGGCATCAATGTGCGCTTGTTGGGCTAGACCAATGTCGACCTTGTACTCGTCGACGGTATATTCACACGTGTTACTCAGCTGGGTATCACGCGTCAGTCACTGCTCATCCGATTTTCACACGTGGGAGGCCTCCGAATGGTGGACGCGTCGCCCCCTGGGCCGGGAAATGACGAACCATGAAATGAGCAAACACTGCTCGCTCGAAGCCCTGGTGCGGCGGCTGTTGAGGGGGATCGTACTGCTGCTGCTGCTGCTGCTGTTGCTGTTGAGGCTCATCGTCGCCGGTGATGGAGGCGATCTCGGCCTCAATTTTTTGCTTTGCTTCCCTGAAGAATTTCCTCATGATGATTGTTTGCTGCGTTTTGGATGTTCAGGAGTGAAAGTGAGAGCCCCCTCGCTCGCTCACTCACTCAGCAGTGACGCGCGCGCCCGCTGCATCTACCGCTCCAGTTAAAATGACACGTGTGAATGGCGAAGCTTTCAGACTTGGCAATAGAAAGAAAGGGTCGTTGTGTTGAGGCTTTGTAGACCCATCTCTGCGTAACCGAGGGCTTAGCAGCATTCCGAGTTATCCGGACTTGGTCTTGGGTATGTGCGATTAGAGAGGGTTTTTTCTTGATGGTTTCCTTTTGATATCGGACGGGTTGTGTGTTTTGCAACCCCAAATTTGCTCGCTGCGATGTCTGCATGATTTCTCAGTCACACTTATTAGCGCGTTGCATAGCACTGGTTCAGCGGGCTACGGGTTCTGAGTCGTGGTTTAAGCGTCAGACGGCGGCTGAATCCGTTGGGTGGTTGGCTGCTATTTTTATCGCAACAGGACCCAGCCTGGAAGACAAGTAGCTCGGCAGTGCACAGCATCCGAACTTGATGATAAACATATGACAACAGGTAATGAATGGGATGTAGGAGTGCGCGTGAGTGGTTACAAGCTCGGTGAAGGAAACTCAAGAGGGCCAGTCCAACGCAGTTGAGATTATAATGTTTCCCTGTCTGAGATAGCCTTTCTGACGCCTTTCCGGTCTACCAATGTCAACCAACACAGCACACACAGACAGCACACTGAGTAAGTCAGTTGGTGGTCACTGCTGGTATT